TCTAGTTTATGGGGTCAGATACTGTCCCTGGAGATGAGTGGGTGACAATGGGACAAGAAGCAGAGAGAAAAGTGTTATACAAAAGGAAGAGTAAATGTAAGAGCTGTGAGATGAGGGGGGCACGGTTCGCATGTGGGAGGGGGGCTGAAAGAAAAGCAGTGGATTTAGAGCAGAAAGAGCAGGTGAGAGTGACTGTGGAATGTTCCTGCAAAACTTTCAAGGGTCAGTCACGCATGGCCTTGGGTCCAAAACAAAAACAGATATGCTGGATGCCTATGTCTTTGGGTGCTGTATGTGTATCTGTGCTTTACACATCAAAAGCATAAGGTTTTTTTAACGCCCCTCCCCCCACCCCCAAAAACCTATTGTGCCCCCTTGGAAGCAATGTTGTCCCACTGAAAGTGTATGCTCTAGATTCATACACTTTCTAGATTCATACGGTGGTCAGTATCATCCTGTTCTACTTATTTTCAAAAGCTTCTCCTATAGGAAGATAAGTCTCTCTCCCTGACCCCATACAAAAGATGGGACTGGAGACAAAAGGCCTGAGTGCTCTTTACCCTGAACCAGCCAAGTTAACCCTAAAAAAGATCTTTCTGCTGCTTTGGGCCTCCCTGTTTCTCATCTTTTACAAAAGAGGAATGATTTTCCCTGTCCTGTTTACCTTTGTTGTGCAAAGGGTGGTCAATGGATGAGCAGCATCAACGTCACCTGAGTACTTGTTCAAAATTCAGAATCTCAGGCTCCACCCTGACTTACTGAATTAATTTAATGCGTAACTTTATTGTTTGCACAAAGTTTAAGAAAACTTAAATATATTGTACAGAGCAATTGTGAGGATCGTGTTTTAGTCCCACTTTTTGGTTTTATTTCTAGTGCCTAGCACAGTGCCTGGCCTGAAAAGGTTCTCTGTGAGGAAATAAATGAGCGAATACTAAATATGTTCAAAGCGAGAGTCAGTATAGATTAGATTCATTTTGACTTAAAATTCAGGGTTACGGTTCTCCTTAAATATTTTATCAAGCTCAGTCCCTATTAATTTTTAAATGCATGTCAGAAAATGTTTTCTTTGGCTTGGCGGTGGCCAAAGATTGTGCCTGTTAATTAAGGACAGAAGTAGCTGCTTCTTACATTTTTCCCTGCCCTCCCCTCTCTCCCCAGCCACCATCCCTGTTGAGTTTTATTGTAGAGCCAGTTCCGAAAATAGCAGCAGAGATACACACAGTCCCACTTGGGAGAGAGTCCGACCACATCCGCAAGTATGTTGTTGGCTAATGTGGAGACTGGGGGACAGTCAGGCTCGTGTCTCCTAGAAACTGCAGCCTGCCAAGTGATAACCCAAATTAAATTTTAAGCATTTGTAATTCTTCACATAATTTTTATTTAATACCATTAAGTGATCAATATAGTCTTCATAGTCACTTTCTTATGCATATTCTCTGTAAGGGTTGTGTTTCTGCCAGTGGCCAGGCTTGGCCTGATTATTTATGACCAGAGTGCAAACTAATGATAAGGTGGAATTTCCTGGAAGGGAAGAGCTGTGAACTCAAATGCCTGGGGGTATTTGAGTGGGTTGAGACATAGAGACCCCTGTTAACTGTGACTGATGAGGGGAGTATGTAATCTGAAACAGTTTTTAAATGTTGGTCAGTAATTCAAATTATTGTTATTATTTTTTTTTATGAAAAAAAATCTACAAAGAAAGTTGAACCCCTGCAATTAGAAAACCACTGCATAGAAGCTTTTCTATAAAGGTTATAGGCAATACGGAAAATGAGAAATACTGGAGCGATTTGAAAAATAACACCATCGTATTTATAACATCTTATAGTTTCCAGGGCAAATAATGTAACTTTCCTTAAAGAAAGTTACATTATTTGATCTTCACAATAGTCCTGTAAGGTCACTAGTGCTGGTGCTATTACTGAGAGAATTTCCCATTTCACAGAGAAAGTATTATTAGATTGAATGTAAAAAACTTGCCGGAGGTTATTTGGTCATTGGTAGGTTTGCTGACTTATTCCTTACATCAAGGAATAAATAATAATAGGTTACCAAGTGGCAAGCACTTCAGACACATTGTCTCATTAATCTTCCCAACAAGATGTAATGATCCTCTTTTTAAAGATTAAAAACATACACTATCGACATTCATAAGCATTTATCCAGCTTGACTCTAGCGTCAGACTTTACCATGGGCTAAAGACTTTAAATGCATTTTATCCTCATAACAAATTTGCTAAGTAAAAACTAGGTTCTCTTAGAATCCCAGTTTTAGAAAAGAGGATAAGACTTTTTATAGAATGGTGGAATAACTTGCCCAGGGACATATAGCCAGTTAGTGGGTGGTAAAGCTGGGATTTGAACCATGAGCTTTCTTTCTCTTCTTAGTTCTTTTCCACCACAGTGTGTCGAATATTGCTAATGCCTGTACATTAGATTAACCCAAATGAAACTGCTGATATTTGACAGTTTGTCTTTTATAATAGCAATTTTGTGTAGTTCAACTAATAATATGTACTTTATCTGCCTTCAATCAATCTTAAATTAATTTCCAGAACCAAGAAACAACTATGAATGAGCAGATCATTTAGGGGAGATTTTAGTCACATTTTGAAATCTGTTAATCATTTATTAACTTAAGAAAGATCCTGACCTTGAAAACTGACGAAAGTTCATGCATATTTGTCAAATTTAGGTAGAACTTTTATTTTCCAAACATTTATTTCTGTCATAAATTGAGGATATCTAAGTTTTAATTGATTCTTAATTGACAATGGGTGTCTTATGAGTGTTACTTCGATTTAATGGCACTGAAAAAGAGTGATATGATTATAATCTTATAAAATCATGAATTAAGGGTTCCATCTTTTAGTGACATCTTTCAATGGAAGATTCATATAGACATCGACCTTACTTTAAACCGTAACTCAAAAATCTACATGGTGTTTTGGTGAAATAGTGATTGGAAAGAATTAGAATTAAATTCAGTAGAGGTTTGTCTCTATTTTTTGTTCACTGTAAAGAATTTTTTTAGTAGTTAGCTTCTTTACTTTCTTAAACCTCACTAATAGTCTTCACTTAATGAAAAAGTCAACACTGTGACTTGAACTTCAAGAAAGCATGGACATCTTTTGATGATGAGTCTTGCAAGATGAGTCTTGTTTCTTACATGTACTAGTTCTTCCTTGTGCATGTGTGAACTCCATAAAAGCACACATAGGATGCCTTTCTTGAGGCTGGTTCTACTCAGTACCTGTACCTTTACGTTGGAAACCTGAAAGAGTTTTTTTGAAGAGTTGATAGGTCTATCACATTCTATGAAAAAACTGTAATGATTGAGTACGAGTCGCAAGAATGTGCTTAGTAGATTGCTGTCTGGTATCCTTCAAATTCAAGCATGGTACCCCTTAGTCTACTGCACTTTTCAATTTATGTGTTCAGAATTTCCTACGCTGACACGCTGTTATACCACGCTCAAAGAAAGTGGGTGCATATATTTATAATTTGGTGATTAAAAAATATTTTAAAGAAATAATTTTGGTAAAAAAGAATTTTAATGATAAAGATAAAACTTAATGCAAGCAAATTCTTCATCACCTGTGTGTAATACAGAACAACATATTACTGTCACTTTTTTCTTTTGTCCTTGTATAATAAATGTATATTTTATGTAATTTTGTACTGAGGTTAGACAATGAGATGAAATCTTTGGCATCTTTGGAAAAGAAACAGTGTGCACAGGATTCTTTGTGATTTATAAATTCTACTTTACTAAGCACAGAATTATAAATCTTGCTTATGATTTATTGAAGGGCTCAATATAATTTGTTTTCTTGGGCATACTCTAAAAGATGTGGGATGGTGAATAGGTCAGTGGCATTCTAATGCTGATTTTTTTTTTTATCATGTAGTCACAGAATATTATTAATTATAAGCTTTTTTCCCAAACTTGGGCCGTTATGAATCTCCTTCATGATTTTGTCCATATCTTAATGTAATGTCTATTATTAAGGTTTTCTTGAAAAAGCTTACTTTCTAACTTAAATTTTCAAAAGGAAACTCATCACTACCATTCCTATTCTTTATTAAGTTGATTAATTTCCTATTCTATATATTTGCATTTTTAAACTTCAAGTTTAAAAAGTCAATTTTAAAAAATATTGTTTTTTTCACTTAATTTTTATAAGTAAACTTTATATTTCTACCATAATTTGCTGGTTACATTTTTTTTAGTGTACATTAAAAATATACACACGTTAAAATGCAAAATTCAGCCATGTACCTCAGAATCAACAAGCACATTATGGTTGGACCTTAACCAAACTTTGGAGAAAAGTGGCTGAAAGAAGATGGGCAGCTACTAAAAGGGTGACCCACAGGGGTGGCACAGTCGACGCAGAGTTTCTGTTAAAACTTAGCAAGGTTGTTCCCACCCTGAATGACCCTGAAGGTCAAGCCTGCCATTCAGTTAAAGAGGCGACACGTGGTGTTCACTGTCCTTCTTTCTAAATATTGCCCTGGTTCCCTCTTGAAGAGTCCTTTTATTAAGGGAAGGTGACCTCAACTTGGTAGGCTTGTAAAGATGCCGGCAGTAATGAATTTTTTATTTTCTGTGAGGCTCAGTCTAAATTGGATTCAGCATTATGCTAGTGCATATATGTAAAAAGGTAAATAACCAATTGAAATTCAAATGTAATGAGGGTGAAGTTTTGTTATTCCGCACAGCTGCCTTTGTTTTTAGCCCTGGAAAGTTCTTTGCACCAAAACAAAGCAGCTTTCCCTCTTGCTTCTGAAATCATGTCTAGCGAGATAGAAACATCTTTTCTAACCAGTTTTAGAAATAAAATTTGCTCTGGGTTTTTTGTTGGTTTTTTTTTTTTTTTTCAGTTTAAATACATACTTTTTAAATGTGCTGAGAAATTTGGATGTGAAGTCTTGAAGAAAAAAAAACAAAGTATTCTTTCTGAAACATGCAAATGTGTCTCTCTATCTCCTAGGAAACTATTATGGGACACCCAAACCTCCTAGCCAGCCAGTCAGTGGGAAAGTGATCACAACGGATGCCTTGCAAAACCTTCAGTCTGGCTCCAAGCAGTCGACTCCAAAGAGAACCAAGTCCTACAATGATATGCAAAATGCTGGCATAGTCCATGCAGAGAATGAGGAGGAGGATGATGTTCCTGAAATGAACAGTAGCTTTACAGGTAAAGACTAGACGATGTTCCACCTCCATGAACTTGGGGAAAGGAGGCAACGGGAGGCCTTTACAAAGAATTGTGAGAAGGTTTCTATTCGCTAGGAATTCAGAAGTGTCACCAGAATTCAAACTCTAACCACATAATGCTTGGAAGAGGTGGGAGGTGGTCTTTTCCCTGGTCAGTTTTTCATGCTTCCTCACAAGACTATTTTAACTACAACCAAGTATCTTAAAGGGGCTGGAGAGAACTGTCTGTAGAAGAAAGTCAAGAATAATTAGCATTGTTTCTTTGTCTTCGAAATGATATATATAAGAATATTTGTATTTTGTTCATTTATTTCTTGGCCTTGACACTGATCCATAATTATAGCTAAATTGCTTATAAAGAGAAATATGAGAATTTGTTTAACAATTTAGTAATAGATGACACTGTATAGAAGGCCAGCAGTACCCTTTTATGTCATACCTTTGTAAGAGATATGGTAGAAATATATCATGTGTTCAATTAACATTGGCAAATTTTACTATATGCCCTATGAGAAATATGGGGAAAAAATACTGTAAGATTATATCCTGAATATGCATTCTATATTATATAACATGTATTACTCATAGCATTATATATTTATATATATTCAGGGCTACCTACCTCCATCCTTAAATATGCTGTATTTAATAAAGGGATCTTTAAGGACAAGGCCTCTAGACAAGGCTATACAAGTTGGGTTTTGCACTTTTCCAGGAGGCACCATTCACAGAGGCTGTGATATATGCTTCCTGGGTTAGTGCAGTGACCTAGAACTGTTCAAAAATGTTTTTCACTATATGGGAGTTTGACCTTATACAGTAATTCAGATGTAACAACTGCAGTAAACATGAGTTACTCCAGTCTATAATGTTTTGACTTTAAAGAATATCTTGTGTCTTTTATTTTTCCTATACTTGATATTTTCTTCAATATTTCAGGGTTATAGTTCTCCAGGAGTTATCCATTTGCAGCGTTATGAGATCTTCCTCTCTCACATTGGCCTTTTCTGACTTCACTGCATTTCAGTCATTATTTAGTTAGACTTAACCATAATAAAAGGGAAATTAGTTAACTCTGTATTTTCCTCCTTGTACTACCAAGTCTAATAGAATATTTAAGGAAAAGGTTTGTATTGGTCGAATGCTTTCTGTAGCCTGTATGGGCTTCTCTGAGGTTTTCTTATTCAATTTCAAAAGCCTAAAATTCTCCAAGATGGCAATTAAAAACATCTTTTGATGACTTTATTGTCATAACAATAGCCTAAGACTTCTATAAGGAACATTGGGAAAAAGAGGAGGAGGCCTGGTTTGGGATCTTGGCTTGGTTCTTGGTAGTCTTATTATGAATATGATATCTAACTTCTCTTATCTATAAAATGACTGGTTAAGATTAAATCATGTCTGAGTTCCCCCTTCTAGCTCTAAGAATTTGACTGCATGAAAATTTTCATTTTCTCATTTAGAATGTATTAGGCCAGTGGCCAACCTCTAGTTGCAATAGCTAGGAGAAATTTGCCAAATTTTACATATGTCTTTATTGAAATCAGTTGATTTCATCTACTTAGAAATAAATATTTTAGCCATTTGTAGTAGCCCTCATTGATATGAAAGCAGATTATTAAGTTAATATTACTTTTAAAAGAGCTATTTTGATGTCTTAATGTCTTTCAATATCAAAACATTTTGTACTCTGAACCACTTTAACTAACAATCTACCAGCCACTCTAAGCATAAAGCGACAGTAGAATATTGAGGTCTTGTGTTTTAACAATCTCCCCAGGTGATTCTTATGTACACTAAGTGAGAAAAGTGGAAGACCTTGCAAAGATAACCAGAAATGAATATGTATTGCATCTTAGAGAATTAAGAATAAATCTCTAAATTCTTGCCAAGTTTTGAATTTATTCTTTATTGATTAGTAAAATTTCAAAATGTTTCTTCTCTGTTGTCCTAATTTCTCTTTTCCTTCAAGCTTATAGTTAGTTTATTAATCTGTACCCCTGGGTGCAAATTATGAAACCAACTCAAATTGGTTTAAGCAGGAAAGAATATTTAGGAGATTAAGTAACTGAGGCTCAATCAGGGGTATTAGGTGATTTCCTGTTTCTTTCATCTCTGCTTTACTCTTTGTAGGCGTAAGTCTCAGCAGGTCTCACCAGCATCTGCAGCATGAGAAGTTATCGGCTTAATAACTTCAGCATCAAGAGGCCACTGCTTGCTTGATAGAGAAGAATTTTCATGTTTAACATTTATTGATTTTCTTTGGATCATATGCTGAAAAGAGTTTGGCTTGAGCACACCACATGAGTTAGAGATTTGAGTCAGTCCCCACCTATACACCTGGAATAGAGAGGGTGATTTTTAAAGGGAGGTTTGAGTGGTGGTACCAGAAAAAGAGGAGATAGATGCAGAGTAAGGAAAGACCATAGCCTCTTCAATGTGGTACATTTTTGGTGGAAGTGGTTGTTTAATAGGTTTCACATGTCCTCTATCCAACTATTGAATTAGTTTGTTTTCATGTGTGTCGTTGAGAGCTACACATCAGAGAAAGATTTGATTTACAGCCTTTTATTTTTCCTCAATCTGCTTTAAGTAAATCAGAAATGTCTATAGGAGAATTACTGTGGGAGATAGGAAATAACTCCATCCCTTGATTATTATGTTTTAAAACTCCATAAAGACTGACATTTAACATCATTAGCCTCTATAAAAATTCAAGCCGAATGTTGATATTACCTTCTTATGGATGTTTTAATGACATCACCTCTAGACATTTCTAGTTAATAAGAAGGCAAGGAGACTCGTGTACTTAGAGCCCTCTTTTAAGGCCTAAGTCAAATCAGTCCACCCACATGGTACTTGTTCTAGGAGTAACTGTCTTGGTTTTCACAGGAACATTCTCCTCACTTTGGCAAAAGAGACTCAAATCTGACTCATTGGTTTAGCTGTCTCTATATTCTAAACTCTTTTGTACTTTCCAGCTTGATTTGTCAGTCTTTGATCTTTGCCACTATCTACCAAAAATGTTTTAAATAATTTTTACAAAATGGACAATAATGCCA